CGTATCAGGCACAGACCAGCTGAGTTATGCATGCAGCACTCAAGAAAATAATGTGCCTAAATAAGATTCCATTATTTCCTTGAGGGTATGCTGCAGTATCGCCCACCATAACAGCCTGCGTAATGTTGGTGTTCGGGCACAGGGCAGAGGTATGCACTCTATGGTGTGATTGCTCTAGTTCTTTACTTTTACTTTCATTACTTTGTTTTCAATTTCATCAATGCCTTTTACTTTTTTATTGCCATTTCTTTTTTGATTATCTGATACCAACATTCCTACAGCATCTTTATTTGATCACCTTTTTCTATTGTTAGTTCTGCTTCCATCTTTATCTGATCTAAAGAATTCTACCAGTTTTGGGTCTGCTTCTATAATGTTTCCATTTAAATTAATTTTGATTAAGGAAAACATTAACTATTGAGACTCAGACTGAATCAAAACACTGTCCTGTTTTGTTCTATTAAGATGGACCATTCAGAATTGTTGCAAGCCTGACTGCGCTCAAGGAAAATACCCCTCTGAAAACTGCGTTAGTACTTTGATTCATTTATTATTCAATTCAATATTATTTAATTTCATATGAAATTTACCCTATTAAATAACTATCAGAGAAATAATGATTAAAGAATTCACAATCACAATCTAATATTTTTAAGAAAGCAAAGGAAGACACACTTACCTCAAACTATAATAGAAAGGGAATTAAAATGCATTATTTTTTTACCTATTCTGGTCTTTTGTAACAAAAATATTATTTTACACTGTACAGCAATGGAGAGGTGTTACCTAGTGTGACTGATATTGTGGATATTAATATTTATGATAAAAATCAGATGGAAATAAGTATCAGTTGTGAGATCCAGTTTCCTATTATTAAGGTAAATATATTTTTAGAACTACATTTTGAAATATATAAAATATGAGTAGATTGAGTACTGTTGATAACCAAGTTACTGTACAACGCAATTATTGTACAGCTAGTCAAAAAAAAAAAAAACACAATCATGAAAGTACTACCCTACACAACATCCATATTGGTGACAACACATATGTAACAAGCAACCCACGCGGTGCATTATGGGGTCATTCAAGTATTATGTAACGCAGAGTGGGTGGGGGTATAGTGGAAAATGTCACAGTGTGTGACGTAGGAGTTGGGGGGTGTTACTTGAAGTGTTACATAACAAAATTAATTTTCATGGGAAGAGAAGAAATATTAAAGCCCCATTCCCGGCAAAATTTCAATTTTTAAAAAAAATCTAATTTTTGTATTTTATAAATATAATACGGAATTGCTACTTTATCTGAATTTAGACATTCCTAAGAATAAAAAAAATGTAAAATAAGACTGAAATTTGATTTTTTGTGTTCCACACAAAAAATAAATGCGGATGAATTTTCATGTTTGATTTTGCGACAGGTCGTGAGAAGAAATATCGTAGGCGCCAAAAACATTAGCCTACCCAACGCTGTTAGGCTAGGCCTAGCCTTACCTCTATTTAGGTTCTGTTATCACACATAAAAACAGCCGACATGATATTTTCCGTTGCTAGTAATGACACTTGTGTAATATAATATTTCATAGGAATTATTTCAATTTGTTAAAAAACTGATTCTGACTGAGATTTTGACACTTAAACAAACATATCTCAACCTAACCGAACGAACGCATTGTGCGAGATGCGAAGTACAAAAACTAATCTCACTAGAGAGGGCGCACTTTATTGACTGTATAAAGTATACATAAAAGCGAGAGTATTCCAGTGAGTATTCCAGATCTACAACCTCTGAATTTGCCTAGTAACGATGAATTCGTCGAGAAAATGGTAATATTTTATGAGAAACAGTCTGTATTTCTCTTTTTTTTTATTCTTTTGTGTAAAACTAAAATTCATGCCAATATTTTTCCATGATTTATAATAATTGGAGTAATGCAAATGCATATTTTCTAAAAAAAGTCAGTTTTTAGTGAAATTTTGCCGGGAATGGGGCTTTAAATATTCAAACTTGTATGATATTACTTTATTGAAACATATTACATCAGTGTATTACAATGTAATGTAACACAGTTGTGTTGAATTTGTGAAATCAATAATCAATGAAGTTACATCTACCATATCAAAAAGTTCTAAAATTATATAACATTTAGAGGGGGTTTGGAAAAGTGTTACAGAGTGTTACGGGGGTGGGGGGGGTGTCAATATTTGCCAAAAAATGTGTTACATAATACTTGAATGACCCCTATTAAATTATTTCACACATTATTTAAATGTATTTGAGGATAACACAAAATCACTGGATTAATACCGATACTAGGATACTCTTTCAATCACCATCACATCGCATTGGCCCTCGTGTTTTAGTGGTACCTTCATATTAGTCTACGTCATACAGCCGTTGCCCTGCATCTACCGCGTTAGAATAACAATTACAAATAAAAAATAACTTGCAAGGCATGCAATGACGTTTGCAGCAAGACTATTCATACAACACAAATAAGCGTCGCATGGAGTTAGTGAAAAATGGAGCTCAAATAAAAAAAACGATTTTAGAAAGTATTTAAAACTATTTTTGATTTTAGACTTTCGCCAAAAATAGTTTTCGTCCATGGCGTTTTGGCAATTGGTTAGTGTTAGCCCAGAGTAAAGACTCAAAAATAAGGGTAAATGTTATGGTATAAATTAGAATCCTATATGAAAGTACACAAAAATAAAAAAATAAAAAATCCCTATGGTTTGGGTAAAATTTGTCAAGATTGGTTGGAAAAATTTAGAGGAAAACATTCTGCTTGAAGTTTTTTGCTTAAAAGGTGTCAAAATTTATAAAGTTGAAAGATATTTTTTAAATTTTGAGACCGCTGTAGTTTTTGCGATACTGTACAATGAAAAAAAAATTAAGTGTCCCCTTACTAGGAGCTGAAAATATATTGATTTGACCATTTGACACACCCAGAGAGTGTTCCCGTCCCATTAATAGGAGCGTTTACGTCGTGGCCCATGTCAGGTATCACCTGCAAATAGTTCTACAACACTACGTAAGCACGATTATACACACTAGCTACATAGTGACTCGAGAAGAATAGGGGTTCCCCTTAATAGGGTTTGGCCATAGTGTTAAAAGATATGATTCCCCTAATTCCATAGAAAAGTGTCCTTGGAATAGGGTCACCTTAATAGGGTGTCCCAAAGTAGGGTTCTACTGTATTATATTTTGGTCGTATATTTTGTATCTTAAACCAACATCTCTATAAACTGGAGTTGTTGGGTCATGGGAAGCTATGGCAAAAACGTCTGAGTCCCAAGGAGAAAAAGGTTGTCGACCGTAAGTGTAAAACTAATTTTCCTTTACATCATGAAGGTATGTGCCGCCAACCATTAATTAAATTAATTAAGGTTTTCACCACCCCACAGACAGTTGACTCTGGGATATATGTTCAGCTTCCTTGTAGAGATTTTTGCGCAGTTTAAATTAAAATATGAAATGTTTCTTTTCATTTTTTTTAAATTCAAGGATACAACTTTAGAAAATGTTACAAATGCCAATCTAATTCCAGTATGTCATCACACACCTGATTATACACCTAACACAACCATGTAAGTAAAATTGTAAAATTGTTATCTATTAAAAATTAAATATAAAAATAATAATTTAATAAGGCCTAACAAAATGGAAGCCATTGGGCCTCTCCCAAACATAAGGAAAAAAAAATAGAAAATTATGTCTTCAAAGGAATAGTATTTGAATTAGCTTTCACAAAGAAAGTGAATCCCCACCAAATATTGGTATGAAAACAATGGTTATTTTTATCAAACGTAAATATGATTTAGCTTTAATTTAATGTAAAACATCAATAGATTTGAGGAATATAAAGAATTTGCTGAAGATAGACCAGGCCCAATTAGGCTAGGCCGAGCTGATTAGGCCAAGCCGTCCAAGCCATCACGGTAAAATTGGCCGTCCTAAATAACAGTTGGCCATCCAAAAGATGGCCGGATGGCTCGCTGGCTAAGCCTATGCCTATTATAAAATCATTACTGTTACTCATTAAAGTGTATGGTCAACAAACGGGTGTGAAACTGTCTATGACGACTTCCGTGTGAGTGGCGCAACATGTAAATGTTCTCATCTGACGTCTTTTGTCATTCTGATGAAATGGAAGCAGGTAAGAATAAATGGTCAATTACAAAAATTAAATACAAATCTATGACAGATAGCTTCTATTCCATTTTTGTTTTCAGCATGATACTTCAAACTTTACATATTTTTATAGATAAAAGAGAACAGGAATTTGTCCATGCTTACGACTGTTGGACTTGCAATTTCCAGTTTTTTTCTCATCCTCACTCTCGTTACTATCCGCAGTTTCAGGTAAGAAAGAATAATTTATGATCATATTTATTCTAGGTCAGCTATACCCCATGGAAATGTTCTCAGGTTAAACCGTTAAACATTTCCAAACATTTCTCCAGGAAATTAAAAAAAAGTTACAATACACAATATAAAATGATATATGAGTGTCCCTACCAATGCAATTATATATCATTAATTTTATTTCAGAGGTTTAAGGAGATCTGAACGCTACAGAATTCTGTGCCATTTAGTCATCGCTTTACTATGTGTCAATTTCTTATTTTTGCTCCTTGAGTTTTATGGAAAGAAGACGGTATGTCATATGTATGTCTCTCAATGTAACATTCAAAAGAAAATATCAGCCATAATAACATTCCAACTGTATAGTTAGAAATATTAAATAATTATGATCATTATAATTAAAATAACAGTCATAATAATAGGCCAAATTCCATGTAATAATAATAATAATAAATATAATAATAGTAAGTAATAATAATAATTATAATGATGATAATGATTTTTGGTCATGTTGAGGATAATAATCAATAATGATAGTTAAATCATAATAATGTCACCTTTGTTAAATTTACATAAAGTGCCAATAAGTATTAAAACCGTAGGCTGATATATTTTGATAGCAGATTGATATGGAAAGACCTGCTCTGAAGATTACATGTAGTCTTCTTGCTGGATGCCTGCACTACAGCCTCTTGGCAGCCATCTCGTGGATGCTGATTATGTCAACGGATCTTTACCTGAAGACCAAACGTCCGTTTGCTGACCATGAACAACGCTTTGTTAACAGTCGTTACATTGGTTGGATTGGACCTGCCATTGTTGTTGTGACGACTGCTGGTATAACGAGGGAGAACTACGCAACTGACAAGTAAACTTATCCTTACTTCAGGACTAATTTTTTTTAGATACAGTGATATCAATCACAAACAATTTCAGATTATAATTTAAATTTAACCACTCAAATGTTCAACGCTTTATACCTATCCACCACATTAGGACAATCAATCCATCAATGAAAAAATTAAATCAATCTACCATAGTCAGTCAGTAATTTATTCAATATCAAATTGTAACTATATGTTCACTTACATCTATCATCATCTATGATCATCTGTTCGGTCTTCATGTTATTTGTAGAGTGTTAGCATCTTCGCATGTTTTTGTGTTCCTTTCAGTTGGGTCAGCGTTACAATTCTTACAATTTTACTGTTTCTGAAAATAGTAACATTGACATCTTTTTTAATAGTTTTTAAAAATTTCCAATCACCTATTATAAAAAGTATCCCGGTCTAAGTTGCCTTCGTAATTGTGTTTAGATTCTATGTTCATGGTGGAGTGGGGGATGTACTTTTAGAATGTCTTGCCTATATTTCTTTATTTTTAGAGTTTACTTTATTGATTTTATGTCCATCCTGCGAGATACAATTTTTTACTTTTGGCTTGGAAATAAATAAATAAAATAAATAAATATGCTGTACCATTTTGTCTGAGCTCTTTCTACACTATCAAATTTTATGTGACAAACAAATGTGATATGCCCATATTTGGTTGTGCCAATATGGGGACATCATCGTGCCAATATGGGGACATCATCGTGCCAATATGGGGACATCATCGTGCCAATATGGGGACATCTTCGTGCCAATATGGGGACATCATCGTGCCAATATGGGGACATCATCGTGCCAATATGGTGACATCATCGTGCCAATATGGGGACATCATCGTGCCAATATGGGGACATCATCGTGCCAATATGGGGACATCATCGTGCCAATATGGGGACATCACACAAATTTGTCACTAAGGTCAAAGCTTTAGGTAGACAAATTTATGGATATTACTTTGAAGTCACATTCTTGATCTTTCTTTAACATCAAGGACAAAAATTTAAACTTTCTTGATCTTGTCAATTATAGGTGCTGGTTGGATACCAGGTCAGGTGCCATTTGGGCTTTCATTTCTCCTGTTTGTCTTACACTTCTGGTAATGTATTATTACTCAATATTTTTCAAAATGGATGTAGTTCAATATAAATCTTATTTACTATTAATATTACTATTTTTATTATTATCATCATCATTAAACTATACAAGAGCTTGGCCAAGAAGTGACAGCAGACACCCAGTTATTATGAATAACCAAAGTGAAGATAGCAGACATTTGACTATTACCTAGACACCAATGTAGTTGTATTTTGACTTTCCTATAATATGCAAGGATACTATCAGCTAAATGGCAATGTAGAGACAATAGTTAATGTAAAATCATAGGGAGGAAAAATTATCATCGGCTTCATATTCTAGACCTCTTTTTGTTTGGTTTACTTCAAGGCCTTTAATGATTTTCTCTACAATTATTTTCTTTATGATTATAACAATATCAAAATTTAATATTGAAATGTTCCTCTCAGGCCTGTAGCATGGGGGGGTTAAGGGGGTTAAGGGGGTTATGACGAACCGCCCCAAAAACTGGAGAAGTTCCGGATTTTAAAATGAAAAATTGATATTCATAGATATACTTACAATGTTCTCCAGAGTATTGGAGATCATAACCAGCATTTCTTAAGCTCTCCCAGCTAACTATATTACTGTACGTTTTCAAAGGGTCAAACTTTCCACTGAAACGAACCTCCCACAAATTGAATCATGCTACGGGCCTGCATCTTTTATCAATTTATTTTGTTTAAGTCAAACTTGGTGATTAAAGGTAAAGGTAAAAAAATAGAAGAATAACCTATAACTTGCAACATTATTGTGCTGAATTGCATACGTGCGTGGTCCTGACACCTAACACCCGTACACAGGCGCTTACAGTACTTACAGCAGGTACATTTTCACATTAAAGGAACCATAGCATGGAAGTGCTCTTCTAATAGATGCAATGGGTTCTTTAAAGTGCACACAAGCCAGATACCATATTAAAACCACCATTTTAAGTCCTTATCCAAAAAAACTTTGCACTACCAACCAAATCCTAATTTGTGATTATAGATGCAAACTTACGTTATAGTGAATAGGATCGCCTTTGTGGACCTACTCATCCAATGTTTGTAATTTTTTGGACTGTATGCTAGTTATATTTCTATAAATGAGGATAAGATGTTTTCTTTAAAAGATTGTCATGGTACAGTTGGTGATTACTGGATACGTAGCTTTTGAAAAATCCAAATTACCGAACCAAACACGCAAGAAAACTCAGAAACTCAAACAAATCAGGTTAGTTACTACTTATTTAGTATACAAAAATTAAACAATTTTATTGAAAATATTGTTATGAACTTGGTAACTGCTATTTAAAACTTCTTTGCAAAAGAAGAAAATACATTAAAATATTAAAAAAATGATCTTATCTTATTTGGATTAATACTGGTAGTAGACATATGTTGTATATTTAATTCATTTAATATATATATATCGTGCATGTCAACAATGTATTTACTCTCAATAATTAAAAATATTGATAGCTATACAAAACGTTGATTTTTATCTGTTTACATAGTTAAATGAAGAAACATTATGTTTTCTTCTACTACATACAAAAAGAAAACAAATGTATACTGTAGTGACCACTGGTTTCTTTCGCTAGAAATTTCTTGTTTTGTAACAATGTAAGTTTATGATTTGTACCCAAAAGTTTTTCATTTATTGGTTTTAAGAACTCTATTCCTTGGTATGCTTCTGCTTACACCAGCTGTTGGACTTACATGGATTTTTGGTGTTATAATTGTCTTTTGTGATTCGGAAATGATGGAATACATATTTGTATTCGTAAATTCCATGCAAGGATTTTTCATCTGGCTCTCACAGTGTGTTTTTAGCGAAGAGGTAATTTACTGTTGCAATAGTGTTTCTCATTAAACTTTGTATTTTACAAAAAAATTGTGTATACACATATAATAATCATATATTATGGTCATAATGTGATGTCATCATGATCATATTTAGGCATATGTTTTTGTTACATAATTGATAGCATGGACAGGGCTATGCTCTGTCTATACAATCAATGATGTGCCTATATATAATTATAGTCATGATGTGCCCATATATAGTCATGATGTGCCCATATATAGTCATGATGTGTCCATATATAGTCATGATATGCCTATATATGGTCATATGTCATCAGGACCATGTATAGCCATGTCACATGTTTTTGTTATTAAGTATAACTTGATGCGCTGTCCAAACTATAAATTTCCTGTGACAATAAACTATTGTATGCCCATATATAGTCATGATGTCATGATATGGTCATATTTAGGTTTCTTTCAAATTTGTTTGCAGGTTCAGCTTACATTGATGAAGAGGTTCAAAAATCAAATAAGACATGATATCAGCATCAATACTATTATGAGCAACAGTACCACTAACACCAACTGTGTTACGATTGAAGACTTGTAGGCCTACGTTTTAGCCCTATCCAGACTATAAAATTTTCTTTGAAAAAAAAACTGCTGTATGCACATATATAGTCATGATGTGCCTATATATGGCCATGATGTGATGTCATCATGACCATATTAAGGTTTGTTTTAAATTTGATTGCAGGTTCAGTTGACACTGATGAAGAGGCTCAAAAATCAAACAGGACATGATATCAACATCAAAATGAGCAACATCAGCATTAACACCAACCATGTTACGATTGACCTGTAGGCCTAAGGTTTTAGTTTCCTCAGCGAAAACCCCAAGAAATATATTTTGTAGACTCGGTTTTAATACATTTGGTCAATCAATCAGATTGAAAACTGATATAATACATTTTGGTTAAAATATATACATAGTTGAACATCACATGCACATGAACATGAATATGCATAAAAGGCCCTACCTAATACAGTAATAAATTTTAAAAATAAAAAAAATAATTTTAACAATATTAAGAAATCTGTTTGCATGCGTTTTTGCCTAAAATAACAGGAAATTTAAAAATGAATCTTTTATGACATTATGTGGCAGTAGGTCCTTATGTAGAATGGAGACGAATTGCCCAAAAGGGGGTCTGAGGTCCAGGCATGATGGCCGATCTCCCTGACACAATCAAAGTAGACATGCTGCATTTTTGGCCGTTAACAGAACTGGTTCATGGCACCCGGCTTTTGGAAAAATCCGGGTTATAATATCCTGCTGGTTTGTTGAATAGTGATGGGTTCTTAAATTATTTATTGCCACTGAAGCCCATGAGATGAAGTGAGTGATTGTAATGGGTTTCTTGTTTACATTCCAATGACTATGTTGCTGGCCAGTACTTTCTTGTTAACTCCCAATGGACATTATTCTTAAAACCAATTAAAGTTGAAGTTTATGGAGCTGCTAACAGCTCCCTCTGGACCATTTGACAGCTCACTCTCAACTATCAGACAGCTCTCTATGGACCATTTCTGCTAATGGGGACTTTTTCTGCTAATAGGCTTTATAAATGAAAATGTTATGTACAATGGACAAGAGAATTGGCTGTAATAAAATACCCAACTCCCAGGTGACGATCTGTTCTCAGCCCCCCTCCCCCAAACACTACACCATTGTTATAAGCATGGGTGATAATTCTAAAGCACTGTTGTAATAAGTATACTTAGTGCACATTTGTACCAGGTTCTATTAAAATTATGTAGACTTAGATTTCAGATATTGAATATTTTATCACCAGTCTGTTTCATACAAATACCAATAATACCTGTAAATATCATAAGAATTGGTGAATAAAGAAATAGACAAAAAAAGCAATTGTTTACTTGTTGATATGGCAACCACCTAAATAATGAATACACAAGAGAATCTACAGTAACTAGGATTAACAACATACAGTATATTTTGTCATTTTGAATTAAGGAAAAAATTTATAGCATAGAAAGTCAAATTGCAAGAATTGGTGCACGCAATGTCACAAGATGAGTACAGGGGATGATGATAAATAATGATGGAGATAAAGGTGATGAAGAAGATGATGATGATGAAGATGATGATATAAATGATGATGATATAAATGATGATGATGATATAAATGATGATGAAGATGAAGTTGATGATGATGGTGATGATACATTCATTTAATACGTTAATTCATTTAGATATAAATTCAGTAACTTATTCATTCATTCATTCATGTAGTCATTAATTAAGAAATAAGAATGAATGAATGAATAAATGATAGAATGAATTAATTATTTCTTTATTCATTCATTCATTTATTTCTTCATTTAATTATTCATTCATTCATTTTTTCGTTCATTCATTCACTCATGTATTCATTCATTCATTTATTCATTTTTTTCATTCAGTCATTTATTCATTCATTCATTCTATCAATTTAAATTAAACAGTGATCATTTTATTCCGTTTTACCATTTTTGAATGACGTCACATGCATTAAGCCATAGCTTCGACATTGACGGTTCTAAATACAAAAATTTAAAGAATAAAATGATCACTTGTTACTTAACAAACCAGCATGAGACTAACATGACAAGAAAGCTTAAAAAGTATGAGCTGCACTTGATCATTCACCCCAAACTTCAGCGACCTATCGTTGCTGAGACTAAAAGTTTTCATTATGATTGATTATGATTATTATTGTTGTTAATGGTACAAGTTTATATTATAATAAATGCTCTGAAACTCAGGAAGTGATTGAATTTTATTTAGTACCGTGGCAATCCATGTAATCTGACAGCATGTCCAAAAGACTGACTTACTTATGACTTAGACTAAAACTGTCGGAATCCGCCACCCTACTGGTATCAGAAGTTTGATACAGACTGTGAGGGAGCTTTTGTGGAACTGAAGCATTGATTAATGAGGTCACCAAATTTTTCTCCTCCCCCTACCGGAAGGACAGTTCATATTGGTCACTGATGTGAGAGACATGTATTGGTAGAGTAACTCTCAAAAATGCAGGGTGATGAGGAAAAGAGTAATCAGGTAATCGAGCCGAGCCCTGAGGAAATCACAACAAAATTATTATGCTACACGACGAGAGCTGTTTAGGAGTGTAGTGTACTTAAGGGACCTTCACCAGTATCTTTATGGACATCATCGTGATCAGGACAGATATGCATCGTTGCGCTGGCTGACAAATTTCAAGAAGCTCCCCCAACTATCCATTATTTTGTTACTGATAGGCCTCCCAAGATTTAACAGCTTTATTCAAAAGAGTAAAACATAATAAAAGAAATTATGTCACAGTAGAAAAAGATACTGTATAGAAAATTAATATAAAGTAACAGATAAATACAGTAAGGACTCTTTGGTACAGTAAATAAGTCAAAGAAAGATTCAAGCTTCAATCTCATAATAAATATTTATTATTATTATTATTATTATTTATTATTTATTTATTTTTTATTTATTTATAATTTGTTTTTTTTTACTCAGCAACTGATTCAAAAATGACATTTACATCTGCTGCCTCGTATCTTTGTAATGAACTACCTACTTCTACTAGGTCTGATACATTACATTTAAACTTCAAACTCATCTCTAACATACTGCGCCTTTGATCATTATTCTTGGAATTGGCGCATTACAAGTTTTTTATTATTACTAGTTTTAACCAACAACAAAACAGGTGGAATGTGAATAGTAAACCATGGAACTTAACAATAGTCAAAAACGATCACTTACAAAACATAAAAATTATTAAAGGTTGTTTTTCCACATTATTACCCCAGTCACTGGTACGACGCCTATGGGAGAAATTCCATAGTTTGCTGCATAAAATAATACCAGCACACTGATTTTGCATTAGAACTTCCTAGTTGGCGAGAAGCAATGCAGATAATTGCCGGCTTGCTAAAGTACACAAGTGAAATGCACAGCGAGGAAGGATTGAAACCCAAACCTTGGGGAAGGCGCTTAACTAATTTGGTTTTTAAATTGACAACAGATACAGGATTTTAACGTTAGTGGGCTCTGAGAGCATATCCACCCCAGCCCCCACCATGGTTGGTGAACAACCTCTGAATGCCCCTATAGAGCTGTTACCTCTCCCCTCAAATGCAGCCACAAAAAATATGGCATCTCTGGATGCCTGGAAATAATTGCTAGCAAACCTGTAGAGCTTCACCCCCTCCTCATCCTGCTGTACATTTACAGACACAAGATTAGTGGGGACTTTCATATCCTACTCAGCCCCACCATGGACAAATTTAGGTCTATTGCAAAATTTAATTTATAGTGCCATAACTAGATGAATTGAGATGCTGATTCATCCATGAAAGTACAAAAAGAACACGAATACATTATAAACGCAATTAAGAGTGGTTTTGTTCTGACAGGCTGCACACAATACACAACATGCAAGTTAAATAAAACATGTCATATGTATTCACACGATGCAATATGCTATGCATTATGAAATACGCCTACAAATATGAATACTGCCGATACAATTTTAATTACAGTTACCGGATCTTTCCTAACTCGGTCTGAAGCACCAATATATTATTTATCATGGCTTTGAGTTAAGTGCTCTGTTATGTTTGCTTCTGGTAGTCGTTATACTGATCACAATTTAATTTTAGTCAATTTAAAAATGTCACATTTCCAGCCACTTTTATAGAAAATGTTACATTCAAACACGTAGAAATGTGTATGTTCAAAACAATTTGAAAACAAAGCAACCCTGCACGACCAGTGGTTGCCAAGATATGCTGCATTTTGATCTCTAATTTGCATATTTTAGCTAATTTACATATTAACTAAGGTGGATTTCACTAACCCTGCCTCTGTGTATGTTTTAATTGTAATTACAATTATTATTTGCAATTTATTTCATTTAAAATGCTACGTTTTTTCAGCCTAATTATACATAAATAAAATTAAAATAGCTAAAATAATTAAAATGGCGGCAATTATGGATTTCAATTTTGAAAATTTGAAGCGAATTATTTTTTTTTTCTCACATGTGAATATTTAATATATTAGAATCTTTTAATGTCATAAAAGTACAATTATTGCTAATAAAATGGCCGACATTTTGAAACTGCTGGAAAAACAAATGTTGCACATACTTCACATATTCATGTGTATTCTAC